GGCCTAATAAAATTTTAAGCAATGAGTATTTAAAAATTTTAGCATACAAATATGTACGCTTTACGGTTTAAGGGATACATACCCTCCGATTGTTGTTAAAAAAAAGAAAATAAAAAACAATAAAAATATTTCTTTTCTTTGAGTGTCAAATTTATTGTTTAATTTATCGATTCTCTCTAGAATTTGGCCAAATTCTTCATTAGGAGTATGCTTTTTAAGTCCAAAATATACTGAGATAGTTGTATTGATATCAGCAAATCATGTGAGTAAAATGTTTTTATTTAAATTTGCGAGAGTTAAATAACGTTTCGAAAATGTGTCATCATCTATTACATAAATTCCCAAAGTGTTTACTAAATACAGTAATTAGAAATTTCACTTTCAAAATGCTTAATTTGACTAACAATAACTTTAGTCCTTTCATTATGACAATGAACCAAAATTAAGCGTCTTTGCTAGTGGCTGAATAAATGTATAATACCTTCATTAGGTTTAAAAAATAAAATAAAATTATAAGTTCATCATAATCGTTAATGCAACCTATTCACCACAGGCTTCTGCGCGAAGCTGATTAAACATATGGAGAAGGACGTTCACAGGTATTCCTGTGGCCACAATGTGTTTCCTGTTCTCCGATGCAATCCTAGTGGCAGCATAACTTCAGATACATAACGTAAAAATCAACATAGTGATATCTCACCTCAAAACACTAAGATTAATATTAATAAATTGCATCGCTGTATGAACTTTATAAATTAAAGAAGGTTCGCGAAAATGACGAGATAGTTACGATAATTAAGAAGTTTGAAAAAAACCCTAATGCGAATCCTAAACACTGACACTAACATGAAAATGTTGTGTTGAAAATTTTTATATTCAAAACTTAGAAAAATCTAAAAAAAAAACATAATAAAACATATAATAGGTGCAAATCCACCATAGGTGCGTTTTATAATAAATATTAAAAAAAATTAAATAGTATAAACATTTTTCATTTTATTGAAAATATTCGGCACACTGACGGCACTCTACTAAACCATACCCACATAGTCTAGAGGTCTCTGGCCTATATAGCAAGATTAGGTCGAGGGTAAATTAGTCCTTACTTCACTTTCCCAAAAATTTATATAATTTGCATAATAAAGAAACTGAAGAAAGACTCCTTGAAAAAAAAAATGAATTAGAAAATATAGAGTGTTACTCATCCATGATTCATTTGTCAATCGATCGCTTCCTTTCAGTGAAGTTTTTATAGGTCGACTTAGTAAAATGCGCGAATGCATCTTTATAGCTCATTTCTTCAAATTCAGAAAGTAAATACACAGATTGGCTTTCACGACCTTGAAGAATCATTGTTGTTCACATTCGAAGGTGTTCTTAAAAACACTATTGAAAAAATTTCCTGATGGTTTCTGTGATCATTTTACATGTTTCATCATTGAAAATCAAATTCTCGTGAAAATATTTAAATTGATCAATGGTTTTATCATTTATCTTCTTGAATTATCGTTGAAAAAATTTTTCAGTTTAACACTCGTATTCACAGCCTTTTTTAGATATTTAAATATCAGATTGTCGATTTTCTTCTGTGTTAACTCTACTTGATAATTTCTTATATTAGCCTTCCTCTTTTGAATATTCATCTCTTTAGAGCCTTGATACGCTTTACATCAAGATGCTGTTCGAGATAAAATTTTAAAGATTCTTTGTTATAAATGGTAACAACTCTGTCCTTTTCACAGACATTAAGAATATTTCGTGGATTAAATCTTCGAAGGATGGTTGTAAATTCTTGAATCTTATCCGATTGGTATCTAAATGATAAATCATCGATCGGATCGATGACGATGGCAACATCTCCCAAAAGCTGGAATAAATGCTCATGAGCAGTTCTTCGATCATTATGATGCATAATTATCAACTATCATGTAAATATTACCACCTTCGATGGAAGCCTCTAATCGTGTAATTAGACATTTTCGAAACTGCAAGGATAATTTTTACATGTATTATTCACTTATATAATTTGATTTTAGACCTATGTTATATGTTACACCTGATCTTAAAGTTTAATTCGGCCCAATTGCGAAATTTTTTAGGTTGGGGATGCTAGGGTGGTTATAAACTTTTCAGGCTTAATTTTGCCCAGAATTATATTTTAATTTTTCTTGGAGTTATAGTTTTGCCAGGATTATGCATAATTTAGCCCGGGATTATGCATAATTTTGACCAAAAATTTGCTTGAAATTAAAATTATACTTAATTTTGCTTGAACTTAAAATTTGATTTTGCATAGAATAAATTTAGATTTTTCCTGGAGTTATAAATCCGTAGATTATAATTTTAAAGTAAAATTTCAAATAAATTAAAATTTTTAGAGTATGCTACAAATATTATTTATCTTGATATCTGAT